CCATCACTACCACTTTCTACCACCATCACTACTACCCTCTTCCACCATCACTACCATCCTCTACCTTACATCACAACCACTACCATCCTCTACCACCATCACAACCACTATCACTCTCTACCACTATCCTAGCACCCTCTGCCACCATCACCACCACTACAACCCTCTACCACCATCACAACCACTAACACCCTCTACCACCATCACAACCACTAACACCCTCTACCACCATCTCACAACCACTAACACCCTTACCACCATCACAGCCACTACCACCTCTACCACCATCACAGCCACTACCACCGTCACAACCACTACCACCCTCTACCACCATTCAAACCACTACCACCCTCTACCACCATTCAAACCACTACCACCCTCTACCACCATCCAAACCACTACCACCCTCTAGCACCATCCCAACTATCACTCTACCACCATCACTAGCACCCTCTCCCACCATCCCAACCACTATCACCCTATACCACCATCACTACCAACAACAATACCATCACTACCACCATCACTGTTACAAAACTCGTCCTCTTAACCTTCTCCTATGGTATGGTAGAGTGTTAAGGTAGTATTTTCTTGTTAAGCAGATGGCCTGTTTACGGTTCTGTAACTATAATTTTCTGTAACTCAGGATTACGAAACAAGTAACTAAAACTTTGAATCTTTACTAGCAGATTTTTAGCTTAATATATGATTATATAATGTTAGAATTGACATAAAATAAGGAGTTTATCTCGCACATCTCTTGGTACATACCAGTATATTGATATGAGTAAATGATCCTCATGAGGTCGAGCGAGTACTAGAGAGAATTGGACATGTCTGTTATGGGAGGTCAACGAGTAACAGAGTGAGGTATGCTCCCTTGGCTGTGCAAGCCCAGACTGGAAGTAAGAGTGCTAGTTAGAGTGCGTGTGGTGAAGCTACTGACTGTACCAGTGAGCTGACGTCAGGCTGGTCACGTAACTTAGGGAGACAGGTCACTACCTGAACTAGTAACCGGCACTGTAACTAGTGATTTCGCACTACAAGAAAATAACAATATTAAATCCTAACAAAACCTAATATAATGCAATATTATTATTAATACATATATAATGAATATAGAACAAATATCCTAGTATAAAATATTGTCGGGTATGGCCATACCCATGAGAACTACCATCCTCTACCACCATCACAACCAATACCATCACTACCATCCTCTACCACCATCACAACCACTACCACCCTCTCCCACTATCACTACCACCCTCGAGCACAAACACTACCAGCCTCTACCACTATCACAACCACTACCATCCTCTTTCACCATCATTTACCACCCTCCACCACCATCACTACTACTACCACCATCACACCCACTACCACCGTCTGCCACCACCACAACCACTACCATCCTCTCCCACCATCACAGCCACTACCACTCATACCAGCATCACAACCACTATCACCCTCTACCACCATCGCACTGCCCTTTACCACCATCACTACCACCCTCTACCACCATCACAACAATACACACCTCTACTACACATCACAACCTCTACCACAATCATAACCCTACCACCCTCTTCCACCATCACTACTACCCTCTACCACCATCACTACCACCCTCTACCACCATCACAACCACTACCACCATCACAACCATTACCACCATCACTACCACCCTCTACCACCATCACAACCACTACCACCCTCTACCTCTATCACTACCACCGTCTACCACCATCACAACCACTACCACCCTCTCCACCATCACAACCTCTACCGCCCTCTACCACCATCATAAACACTACCTCCCTTTTACCACCATCACAACCACTACCACCCTCTAGCACCATCATTACTATCCATCTTTGCAACTCATTCTACGAGTTCTTTCTTGAATTCTATTGTGTTTCTCACTTTCTTTACCAAGGGCTGGCACTCTGAACTTTCTTTGGCCCCATGGTGGTTTATTTCTCAGTTGTAATCAATAAACAAGCACCAAAAACAGTGGATGAACACATTTAGTATTCCTAGCCCAATGAGAGAGATGCACATACAGAGTTTGATACACATGAGGAAGTGCGTCGTTGGCGGGTGGTCGTGTCTCATACCAATAATTTTTGAGCGGATGGCCGAAATCCGGGGGAAATTTTGCCAAAAAAAGTGCTCGATTTCCGAATTGGCCAATTTCCACACCGGCCGTATATTAGGGGGTCCGCTGTATTATAATATTTGCAGTAGTCTGCATAACAGTAAATCTTCCATTTTTTTTTGTCAGAATAAAAAATTCAAAATGGAAAGCAAGAGTAATATAAGAAGGACCTGTAGAAGTGACTAATGAATAGAGAAATTGTTATTTTAGTTCCAGAAATGTCTGCATTGTTTATTTTGGTCCCTCTTTTGAAATTGGCATCTTTTGAAATTTTGTGTGGAAATTGGCCAAATTGCCAATTTCTGACCACTTTATTGGGTAGATGAAATCAGTTAAATAGGCAGTTTCTTGAACTCGTTTGATAGAACAAATGCAGTTCTAGTGGAATAGTTTTGATTTTAGTCAACTGAACAATGGAACTGGCTGAAAATAGCAATCACAGTGGGCAAAATCGCCAATGTGTAAATATCGTCAAGAGCACTAACTTTGCAAGAGCATAATTTCGTAAGTTTTCTATAAAATTTCATACTTTTGGTGTCATTACAATCACGAAAAGATTCTTTATCATTTTAGAAGATTTTTTTTTTTTTTTTTTTGACACAAAGTGAATTAGCTCTTTGAGGGCCAAAACCCTGTATCCTTAACTCACTCTCAAGGTTGAAAAATAAAAAGAAAATAAAAAATAGATTTTTTATGAAATGATTTTCTTTTCTCAATGGTAATGGCACCAAAAGTATGAAATTTGATGGAAAATTTTACCCTTAAACTGTCCAAATGTAGATCTACATTCACCTGCGTGGCGCTCCGAATATTTTGAATAATAAAAAAATAGTTTTTTGTTTTTAAGTTAAAGAGGACAATTTTCTGTGTGGTATAAGACCAAAAAAAAAAAAAAATTAAGACCAGTACTTACCCAGATATAAGATCGTGAAGTTAGCTCTGGATGCTCACCTGACGGCAACATCCAGTCCTGCCGCTTATGGAAGTGTTGCCGATTTACCTTTTTTTCTAGTTGGTGGCCCGGTGGCCTGGTGGCTAAAGCTCCCACTTCACACACGGAGGGCCCGGGTTCGATTCCCGGCGGGTGGAAACATTTCGACATGTTTCCTTACACCTGTTGTCCTGTTCACCTAGCAGCAAATAGGCACCTGGGTGTTAGTCGACTGGTGTGGGTCGCATCCTGGGGGACAAGATTAAGGACCCCAATGGAAATAAGTTAGACAGTCCTCGATGACGCACTGACTTTCTTGGGTTATCCTGGGTGGCTAACCCTCCGGGGTTAAAAATCTGAACGAAATCTTATCTTATCTTATCTTGTTTTTATTTTAATTTATAAATTTTTTATGTTCTGATAATTACAATTTATAATAGTTCTTGTGATTTCATAGCCAATCTTTGCTCTGACACTAATATTATGTAATGAAATAGTACTCAGATAGTACAAATCACATTGACAGGTGAACATTTTCACCTGCCTTGGCCATTGACTATTGTCTAGAAATATATACAAAGTATTTATAAGTCCCAGCAATGTTTTAGACACACTGGAGTATGAAACTCCTTGAAGAATGGTGTTATGACAAGGGTCAGATGACAGTGACATTCGATGAATGTGCCCTGCTGGAGGGAATCTTGCCTTTATATGTTTTTACTCTTGCACACAAACATGTCTCTGTATGTCTGTCTATCAGTCTGTCTATCCATTTGCCTGTCTGTACATCTATCTGTCTGTCTATCTGTCTCTGCCTATCTCTGCTTATCTGTCTGTCTAGTTCAGCTTATCTGTCTTCAAATTCAAAGTTTATTCTCTATAAGGATTACAATGCTGGGTTGCAGAAATTTGGTTATTGTGTGGTTTACATGTAGTAAAATTGTGATTACAGAGTGTACCACTAGAACGCTTAGCATGGCTAGGCATTTCGGGCATACTTAGTTTTATTCTTAATTGTAAAATATTACAAATTATGAGGTAAGTTGGTATTAGAGCTAAGTGACTAAATACTAGTTTGTGAGTTTAGCAATGTGAATGCTTTTGTTTTGGCACAGTATATAGTTTCAGTATTGGAGTATCAGGATTTATTTTTTTAAGACAGATTAATATTTTGTTTATGGTCTGTGAGGGTC